AAAAAAAAAGCCCCTAAAAATACATATAGAATTCCACAAGTCCCCGCCACAAAATTCCCTCAAAAAATCCCACAAAACATCCTCAAAAAATCCTATAAAAAACTCTCACAAAGTCCCATAAAACTGTCAAAAAATCCCACAAAAAACCCTCACAAAAGTCACACAAAAAAACCCTCAAAATTCCCACATAAAACCCTCACAAAAATCCCACAAAAAACCCTCACAAAATCCCACAAAAAACCCTGAAAAATTCCCACCAAAAAACCCTCAAAAATCCCACAAATAATCCTCACAAAATCCCACCAAAAAAATGTCATTAAAAATTCCTGAGAGATCCCAAAAAATCTTTACAAAAAATCCCACGAGAAAATCCCAGGATTTTGTTGAATTCGGTGGGATTTTTTTTTTTAATTTTGTGGGATTTTGTATAGGTTTTTTTGGGGGGATATTTTGCAGGGATTTTGTGGGATTTTTGAGAGGATTTTGTGGGATTTTTGGGAGAAATTTGTGGGATTTTTTGTGGGAATTTTGTGGGGTTTTTTGGGGGGATATTTTGTTTGGAATTTGTGGGACTTTTGGAAGCATTTTCTGGGATTTTTGGTGGGACTTTTGTGGGAATATTTTATTGGGATTTTGTGGGATTTTTGAGTGGATTTTGTGGGATTTTTTTGTGAGGCTTTTGTGGAGTTTTTTGGGGGGATATTTTGTAGGGATTTTGTGGGATTTTTGAGAGGACTTTGTGGGATTTTTTGGGGGGATATTTTGTAGGGATTTGGTGGGATTTTTGTGGGGATTTTTTGAGAATTTCCTGAGGGATTTTTTTGGGAAGATCTTTCAGACTGATTTTGGACCTTTTTTCATTTCTTTTTATTATTTTTTTATTTCCTTCCCTTTTATTTTCCTTTTTTTATTTCTCGCTAGGATTCTGTGAAGACCCCGTGGGGTTTTTGAGGGGATTTTTTGGGGGGATTTTTGTATTTCCAGCCCATCGCCCACCCCTTTTATGCCCTCCCAAGATTCCCAACCTCCTCCCAGGGAATTCCCACAGGGAATTTTGGGATCAGGACCCACCTGAGCCCGGCCACCCCTCTGACCACGAGGTGGTCGCTGGTCAAGGTCCCGGTTTTGTCGAAGCAGCAAACCTGAACCTTCCCCGCGAAGGGGATCCGGAACGGCTCCGTGCAGTAAACGTCTGGAAAACGGGAAAAAAACGGGAATTCTGAAGGAAAATCCAAGATTTTGAGGGCAAAATGGGGATTCTGGGGGAAGGTTTTTAAATAAAAATCCTCCAAAATCCTCCCTTTTCCCCACACCAATCCACCCCGACTCTGTCCCTGCTGCCTCGGGGATTCCCAAGGGCTATTCCCAAAATTCCCGGGATTCCCGGGAAGGCTCACAGAGCTTGGCCAGGGCGATGAGGGAGGTGTTGACGGCCAGGGAGAGCTCGATGGGCAGCTCGGGGGGCACCACGGAGGTCAGGATCAGGGCACACTCCAGGAACAGCCGGTACTGGTTCCGCCGCGGGTCCTTGGTGCCTGGGGAAAAAGGGGGAAAAACGGGATTAAAATGGGGAAAAATGGGATTAAAATGGGGGAAAAGGGGAATAAAATGGGGAAAAACGGGATCAGAGCAGGGAAAAATGGGATTAAAATGGGGAAAAACGGGATTAAAATGGGGGAAAAGGGGAATAAAATGGGGAAAAACGGGATCAGAGCGGGGAAAAGGGGAAAAAAATGGGATCAGAGCGGGGAAAAAGAGGAACAAAATGGGGGAAAATGGGATTATAGTGGGGAAAAAGGGGAACAAAATGGGAAAAACGGGATCAGAGCAGGGAAAAAGGGGGGAAAATGGGAAAAACGGGATTAAAATGGGGGAAAAGGGGAATAAAATGGGGAAAAACGGGATCAGAGCGGGGAAAAGGGGGGAAAATGGGGAAAAACTGGATTAAAATGGGGAAAAAGGGGAATAAAATGGGGAAAAACGGGATCAGAGTGGGGAAAAGGGGGAAAAAATGGGATCAGAGTGGGGAAAAAGGGGGGAAAATGGGAAAAACGGGATTAAAATGGGGAAAAACGGGATTAAAATGGGGAAAAAGGGGAATAAAATGGGGAAAAACAGGATCAGAGCGGGGAAAAAGGGGGGAAAGTGGGGAAAAATGGAATTAAAATGGGGAAAAAGGGGAATAAAATGGGGAAAAACGGGATCAGAGTGGGGAAAAGGGGGAAAAAATGGGATCAGAGTGGGGAAAAAGGGGAAAAAGATGGGAAAAATGGGATCAGAGTGGGGAAAAGGGGGAAAAACATGGGAAAAAAGGGGAAGAAAATGGGAAAAACGGGATTACAATGGGGAAAAAGGGGAATAAAATGGGAAAAACTGGATCAAAGTGGGGAAAAAGGGGAAGAAAATGGGAAAAACGGGGAAAAACATGAGAAAAATGGGATCAGAGTGGGGAAAAAGGGAAGCAAAATGGGAAAAACGAGATCAGAGTGGGGAAAAAGGGGAAAACACGGGGAAAAATGGGAGTAAAATGGGGAAAAAGGGGAACAAAATGGTAAAAATGTGATCAGAATGGGGAAAAAGAGGGAAAAATGAGATTGAAATGGGGAAAAAGGGAATAAAATTGGGAAAAATGTGATCAGAGTGGGGAAAAAGGGGAAGAAAATGGGAAAAACAGGATCAGGGAAAAACAGCATCAGAGCAGGGAAAAAGGGAAAGAAAATGGGATTGAAATGGGAAAAAGGGGATCAAAACAGCAACAAAACAGGAAAAATGAGATCAGAGTGGGGAAAAATGGGAACAAAAAGGGAAAAAAAGGATCAGAGTGGGAAAAAACAGGAACAAAATGGGAAAAAAAATGGGATCAGAGTGGGAAAAATTGGGACACAATGGGAAAAACAGGAACGAAATGGGAAAAAAAGGGAACAAAATGGGAAAAAATGGAATCAAAATGGGGAAAAAAGAGGATCAGAGTGGGGAAAAATCGGGATCAAAGTGGGATTAGGGGAAAAATGGGATCACAAAGGGGTCAGGATGAGGGAACATCCCCCGGGGATCCCTCCTGCTGCCGGAATTCCGGGAATTCCGGGATCCCCACCCTGGATCCAGACGTAGGCGGCGGCGGCGATGGCGAAGACGAGGAGGAAGAGGATGAAGATGAAGGTCTCCAGGTTGTTGGCTGTGACCCTCTTCACCCCAAACAGGATCGTCCGGAGCAGCTTTCCCTGGAAAAGCAGCCCTGCTCAGGAATTCCATGGAAATTCCTTGGGAATTCTTTCAACATTCCTTAAAAATTCCAGGCGGTGCTGTTAAAAACCCCAAATCCCTTCAGAATCCTACAAAATTCCTTCAAAATCCCACAGAATTCCCTTAAACAACCACGGAATTCCTTTCAAATCCTACAGGATTCCTTCAAATCCCCCCAAATCCCTTCAAAAATTCCTTCAAAATCCCCCAAAATCCCTTCAAAAATTTCTTCAAAATCCCACAGAATTCCTTAAACAACCACGGAATTCCTTTCAAATCCTACGGAATTCCTTTAAAATCCCCCAAATCCCTTCGAATTCTTTGGATTCTTTCCAAATTCCGTGGGATTCCTCCCAAAGGAGCACAGAATGGGAATTCTGGCTCTGGGAAAAGCCTGGAATTCCTTTGGAGCTTGGGAATTCCGGCTCTGGGAAAAGCCTGGAATTCCTTTGGAGCTTGGGAATTCCGACCCTGGGAAAAGCCTGGAATTCCTTTGGAGCTTGGGAATTCCGACCCTGGGAA